GACAGGGAACCGCAAGGGCCAGGGTGGTGGCATGGGAAGGTGAACACTATACAGTAATAAGAAGGAGGGAGGGAGATGAGGTTGGCAGATAGCAGGATGCAGGGGAGGCAGTTCTCCTGGGATTGACCTCACTTCCATGTCACTAAAATAAGTGACATTGGTGTGTTATATGGATGGCGTCTTGTTCAGAAGGTGGTTACAGTATGGATATCATGGTGTTTCACCATAATGTGAGCACAGCTTGCATCCAGGATGGCTCCCTAACCAAACAAGGGCAACTCACAAGGTAATTCAACCTGCACTCACCATAGCTGTCATGCTACCGGCACCAATGCAGTCAATCTATACCTGCTTCTTTGCATCCCCTACTGGAGAGTCAAAGCAGAAGCATGGCTTTGGTCCAAGACTGGTCATTCTGGGACTAAGGTCAGGCTGCCAGAGGTCAGTGAATGATCTTATGACCCTCACAGGAGGGAGACCAGACTTCTCTCATTCAACAGCCAGCTGCCCTGAACTGACAGATAAACATGGGTAGCTTTGCTTCTAGTTCCATCTCCCACCCTTCCCACAGTAGCAGCGAGTTTCCATTGACTCTGGTCAGCCTCACACCATCCTCTCCAGTCAGCAGCCCCATGCCTTCCTTGTTCTTTTCCATAAGTGATATTTGCTCTCCAGAAATAACCTGAAGTCAGAAAGTCAATCTCAGGCTAAATGCACCATTTCAGGAACTGAGTGGAGGGTACACTTTGGTGGACTCTAAACACAGTCTGTCCCCAACATGGTCTTACAAACATGGCCTTTCTTGTGTTTAGAAACAGTTCTGACATGATGGTGTCATGTTCTGTCATAAGAAATGCTTGGGCACAAACAGCTTGCTAGAAAGTAGTAAAACAAACAGAACAATTACATCCCCATAAATACCATGAAAGAGTATAAGTAATGCTGTGTTATGACTTGGCACTAATCTCGTAAATTAAATGTAGAAACTGGTAAAGACTATTTTCTGGAGGCTGGTGCTCAATTGTTAGAGCACCTATGTAGCAATGGGAAGCCCTGAGTTCAAATCTCAGAACCGCCAAAACATATACACATATATTTTTCTGGAAATGGTATTCTATTTCCTCGAGTAAAAATAACAACTTAGGGAAAAGATATGATCTCAGACTAAACCTGGTAAGGAGACTGGAAAGAAAAGGTGAAATGTGGAACCCTCCATACTTGGTTACTTCTGATGGCTTATCCACAGAGGGTGAAATGCTTGTTGACAGTAAGGTCAGCATATTCTTTCCTCTGTCTGGCTCAGTACTCAGCAGGCTGATGCCTACAGATCATTACTGTGACCTTCTTGTCCTCAAGCTCTATGTCACTCTGACCAGGCTGGGTGCAGACAGGAATCCTTGTGAGACCAATTTCTGGTGACCTCCCTCCACACATCCTCCCGATGGCACCATGGCTCTGGCAATGGCTGCTGTTGAGTGGTTCTGTTCCATGGCTCCAGTTTCTACACCTACTTAGGATTCTCAGGTCTAAGGCGGCTCTCCATTTTCTCAGTCCCTGGGTGCCTTAGATCTACTATTGGGGACCCCCACACCCACCCATTCAATGAAGGCAGTTTATGTGCTGAGAAAATGCCCAGAAAAACATAGATTCATGTGAAAACTATATTGTCCAGTTTGAGTCTTTACTGAAATGTTCACTAAACCCACTGGGCCTGTAGAGAGGGAAAATAGATATGAGAAGAGAAGGCATGGGAAAGACTGACCAGAGCAAGTCCCACATCCAGCCTCACACCCAAACCCTGAGGACTGAGGCTGGATACTTCAGGACAAGTGGTTTCGGAAAATGGTGACATCAGAATTACAACTGGCTTCTTCAGAAGCTTCCAGAAGAAGAGAGACTCTGCGAGATATATGTATTTATTGCTATACACTCCTCTTAAGTATGTTGTATTTCCATTTTCATTGTCTTAAGATTTTTTTTTTTTTTGATGGTACTGGGGTTTGAATTCAGGGCCTTGCACCTGCTAGGCAGGCACTCTTATCACCTGAGCCACACCCCCACCCCTTTTTGCTTTAGTTATTTTTCAGATAAGGTCTTACACTTTTTGCCTGGGGCCAGCCTCAGACTATGATCCCCCTACCTACACCTCACGGTATCTGGGATTGCAGCCGTATACCACGATGCCTGGCTTGTTTGTTGAGATGGGGGGGGAATCTTACTGACTTTTTTCCCAGGGTGACCTCAAAAATCAATACTCCTGATCTCTATCTCCTGAGTAGCTGGGATCACAAGAAAGTACCACCATGCCTGCCACCCCCTTTTTTGAGACAGGGTCATACTATGTAGCTCAAACTGGCCTCGAACTCATGACTCTTCTGCCTCAGCCTCCCAAGTGCTGAGATTATAGTTGTGCTCAGTGTCTTGAGCACAACTTTTCTCTTTTTCTTTTTTGACTCATTGTTCAGTGGAATGTTTAATTTTTCCAAGATTTCTCCTATTACAACTAGCTTCATATCATTGTGGTCAGGAAAGACATTTGAGATGTTTCAATCCACTTAAATTTGTTCAGACTTGCTTTGTGGCCTCATGTATACTCTCTCCTGGAGAAAGTTTCATGGGTACTTGAAAGGAATGTGTTGCTGATGGATGAAATGTTCTGTGTGTCTGTTAGATACTTTTGATCTAACGTATCATCTAAGTCAATATCTTAATAAATTTGAAAATATCCAGTATTGAAAGTGGGGTGTTGAAGTCCCCTACTATTTTTGTATTACAGCCTCTATCCAGACTTAATATTTTTTCTATATTTAATGTTTTGATATTAGATACATACGTATTTACACTCTAACCTCTTGATAAATTGACTCCTTTATCTTTATGTCTTTGTCTCTTTTTGCAGTTTTTACCTAACATCTATTTTGTCTCAGAGCAGCTACCCTTCCTTACTTCAGCTTCCATATGCATGGAGTATCTTCTCCTGTCCCATCTTCTCCTGTCTGTGTGCCCTTGAAAGGGAGGTGAGTCTCTGTATGCAGCATGTATTTGGGTCTTTTCTTTCCTAAATCCACTCAGCCACTCACTTTTTATTGAAGAATATAACCCATATACATTCAAAGCAGTGATTGGTAGGAAACCATCATTTTGTAACTTGTTTTCTGGTTTGGGGGGATTTTGTTTCTTCCTCTGTTGTCGTTCTTTGGGGTTTGATAGTTTTGTTAGTATTGTGCTTTGCATCCCTTTTATTTATGTTGTGAATCCGCTGCAGATTTTGCTTTGCAGTTATCATGGTCTTTGCAGAGAACTTCATGTGGTCATATCCCACTGGCTTACAGATAACTCAGTAAGGATGTGACGTTCACAAATAAAAACAAGAAAGTTCACAATCTATTTAAGCAAAGATTGAGTTGTGCCTGAGTAGGAACAAAGTTTTTAAGATAACTAGGTCTAAGTTTCCCCATTTAGAAGATGTATGCTAAGGTTAAGAGCTATACTCTGTAATCTTTGCAACGTTGTGAAATTTGCTGTTAGCTTAACCAACAGGTGTGGTTAAACTAAATGCCATGATACCACTGCACCTTTGGACTGCCCCTCTATTTTTAGACTATCTTTTGGAAAAAGTGAACGGTTTCTACAAGCCATGTTTTAGTAAGCTCTTCAGACATATCTTCCTTCTTTCTCCTCCTAAGCATCTTTTGGAGCCCACAGCAGAATGAGCATATTAGTACATTTTATATTAATATTAGCTGCCCAGAGTTTTCAAGAGGAAATTTCACTGTTGGTAAAAGATGCCCACTGGTGCTTGTGAGATACACCCACTGGAGCTTCAGGGTAGAAGAGTTGTTCTTTGGACTGCGGACTGTAGAGGAGTTGGGAATTTGCAGACAATGTGATTGGGAGGAAGAGGTGGTCTATACTGTCACCTAAGCCTACGTTTTCCTTTTTCTCATTTTGTAAGTATCATTTTGCTGCCATTCTTTCTTGTGCATTATTGTTACTCAATTATTTGTAGCACGAAAATCACCCAACTACAGAGCCTAGGACATGTCTTGAGTGTATGCCTAAATCTCAACTTTGTTGTCTTTCCCCCAAACCAGTTACACCTTCAGAAAAATTGAAGAAATGGCCTAAGTTTGAACTTTCTTCTTTCTCCATATTCTACTGTATGAAACCCTTGGTACTTTTGAAATGTCACAACTGAAGTCTCCTTCCAAGCCTGCTCCTGCCCCCATAGGTCAGATCCTTATACTGACTTTGGCACCATTAATCATAGCAATTACTCCTGTCATTTATGTTGTTCAAATGTTTTCAGCCTTCTGAGCACATTGGAGGACAGTACTTCTGGCTTGCTTGCTGCTTGTGACTGCATGGGACCATGTGACTGGTTTGAACTGAGTTGTGACACATATCTGTCACTTCTAGGCCAGAAGGTTTAATTGCATTTGCTCTATGCCCCAGTACCAGTAACTAGCAATTTTTGAGATAGTGAGAATCAGGAGATACAGAGCCTTGCCTTAGCCAATCCAAAATGGGCTGTGAAGGCAAACAAGAAACAAGTCTTGAGATAAGCCATTTAGATTTGGGGTTGTAAGAAGAGCATAACTTACCTGTTCTGACTGATATACGGCAACTATCTTCTACCTTCTCTCCTCAGCCCCTTCTGTCTCTATTAATTTTCCTACTCAAGGTGCCTCCTGTGAGTGTAATCATGTAACATTTATTGTTTTTGTTTTGGGACAGGGTCTTGCTGTGTAGCACAGGCTGGCCTTGAACTTGAGATCCTCCTGCCCCATCGTCCATCCTAAACACTGCCATTAACTCCTCTGGTCATGTCACTCTTACCAAATAACTCATTTTTTAACTATCAAGGTTTTATAACTTGGCCTAAGCCAATTCTTCCAGCCTCAGCCCCTATCTCTTCACTACAAAATGGCTTCCTAAGAACTTAACTGTGCATGCCCCACAGGATCTTGCCTTTGGTCTTATGATCCTTTCTTAAATGCCCACCCCTAGTGTATACCATTAGTGAAGGATAGGCAGAGTGTAAGCCTAACACATGGATTCTTGCTCAGCTTTGTCTATGTTAGCCCCAAGTATTCATGGCTTTCCTTAATGGCTAAGAATTTCCCACAGAAACCTTTCCCATTGCTTTGTATTCCCTCTTTCTGGAACTTGTGTTAAACCTAAGTTGGATCTCATTTTATCCTTTCTGACTTCTATTTCATAGATTCCGCCTCCTTGAACCGCTGTGCTGTATCCCAGATAATCTTCCCCAAGATCTGTCTTCTAGTTCACCAATCCTGTCTTCAGAAGAGCTGACCATCCAGGTCTCCCTCCAGTCTGGGTTTTAGTTGCTTCATGTTGGACCTCTGGGCATTTAAAAAACCTTTCTTATACCTTCAATCAAGCGTTTAACAGATGTTAACTCCATATTATCAGGCATTGCTGAGTATTTAAAAGTAGAAAGACTTTGAGGTTATCTGACAGAAGTTACAGTGCCAAAAACAAAAGCTCTTACATCAGATTTTACACATACTTTTTATTCGTTGAATAAATGAATATTTGTCAATATGTACATAACCACAAAGAGCGAGCACTAGATTTAGAGCAAAATATTTGGGTTCTAATACACAAAGCCACTTACCAGGTACGAGGGCTTAGGCAAAGAACTTAATCGGAGCTCAGCTTCCTCAACTGTAAAACTAGGCTGTACAGACCTGTGTGGCCAGGTTTATTGCAAGGTTCAAATGCAGAAACACATGAAAGTGCCATGAATACAACTCAGAGCAATACAATATAACAAGTAACAGCAATTGAATTTCAAGTTGAGGAATACTTGATCAACGCCCTTGGATTGTACCGATGTATGATGGGGCCAACAAGAAAGTGACAGAAGAGCTGGTTATGGATGGGAACGGACATGCCATTCTTGTGAGTGGAAGAATTCTGCAATATTCTGTAGCTTGTTCTGGCAATCCATCACTTCTTAAACTCCACAAAGAAGTCAGACCCATCATCAATAACTCTCTCACAGAAGCACAAGGGCTTTATTTACATGTGAAATGTGTTTAATACAGTCATGATGGATGGTGCATACACCTGACAGCAGCAAGACCTCTCAAGGAACTGAACATTGACTACAGCCTATCATGCAAGTATCTACATATACACAAAAGAATTTCTCTTCTTAGAAAAAAAAAGTACAAAACATGTTCAGGGATAAGTACAAGATATAAAATGCAAAAGAAAACACAAAACAAAAACCAAAAAAAAAAAAGTAACTCCCCCCAGAGAACTATAAATGAAAGGACAGAACACCCCTGCAGTACTTGGCTAAGCAGAAGCGTGGGCGGGAGCAACACTACTGAAATGACTGAATGAAAGCCAGTGGCTTGGTGTTTCCTCTGATGGCCAATTGCAGAATGCAGGCTGCTGCATTGGTAGGTTGTGCATCCCAAATCTAAGTACAGGATGTTTGGCAATAGCACCCGTAACAGGAAATGCCAACTGTGTAGACGGCAAAGGGTTAAGTCAACTGGGACTGTTTTTTTGTTTTTTTTTTCCTGTCAAGAGCCAGAGAAATACTTGATATTCTTAGTTGTGTCTTTGTAAGAGTTAATAAGTTACATGACAAGAACCTGACTAGGCAGCTACAGGTAACTAGAGATTCGTAACATTTACAGTAGTCCAGCCCTTTCCTAGCTTTATCTCCTTGTGCTCTTAAGTCAGTCTTGCAAATCTGCCGAGAAAACCACCAGCCCTGCTTTTCCCCCTCGGCAAGTCCCTTCCCCATTCCTGAAGATGGAATTAAGGAAATCCACATTCCTTACCGGATTCCCAACTCTGGGGACAGAAGGGACCTGCAAGGCTGCTTTAACCATCACTCGGCATGGCCTGACCTGAAGCCAGGCCCACACCGAAGTGCAGGGTCCCAGTCGTGCCCTGGCTCCTGAAGCAGGCACGCTGAGGGTGGTGCTAAGACACTTAAAAGTTTCTAGTGTTGTGAGACCCACAATCACCTACAATTTATGTAGTGAATTCTAAAAATTAAAAACACTAAAAAAGGCATTATGTTAGCCTGTAATTAGTTAACCCATTCAAATCTGTAACATACAAAACGGTTTGTGTGAATTCAGGAACTGTCCCTGTCACTAAGAACTCTGTTTTAAAGAAACAGTACAAAAAGAAAAACTCTAACCCAAAAAAACACAAAAAACGTTTTCCACTAAATACTGATACAAACATGTAACAAAGAGTATAAAAAGTTATCATTTTAAATATGTACAAACTCTTTTAAACTCAAATAGTGTCTTAATACTTATGGGATACATCTGAGGAGGTGAGGAGGGGACATGAAAGGGAGTACATTGCAACAGCCTAGACAGTACTGTTAACTCTGTTATACTGCAAACTTTTTATAACAAAAACGTCTTATTTTTACTTCAGTGTGGACGGGGATTTTCCTGATGGGATGTCCGTGGCTATTTCTCAGCTGAGCTCATTCTTTTGGATTTAATGAAGGCCATGCCGTGTGTCCGCATGTGAGTGTTTAAGGCAGCTTCCGTCTCAAAAGTCTTGGCGCACACTTTGCACTTTCTGTCTGACGCTGCGCTGTCGGCAGCCTCGTCCTCGGGGCTGGGTTTGTTCTCCTGTTGGCTGTCTTCCCCGGCCCCGTTCTGCGTGGACACGGGCTGAGGTTCCTTCAACTTGTGCACGATGAAGAGGTGCCTGGACAGGGAGACGTGGGACGTGTAGCACAGGCCGCACTCCCGGCACTGGTACGAGGAGCCGTCCGACTTGTGCTGAGGAATGTGTTCGTGGAACTGCAGCAGGTTTTCAGTGGTGAACCCGCACACTGCACACTTGTGAACCTTGAAGACGTTGATCTTCAGCTTTTTCAGTGGCTGAGTGATGGCTCCTCTGGGAGGCCGGAACTCTAGAACTGGTTCTTCCAACTTGCGCTTGGGACTGGGAACCTTCGAGGAAAAAAATAAGACAAATGACACACCTGAAGACTGGTCTGATGTATGGCTGATGAACGAATGCCTTTGGGACTGCAAGGAGAGCACATACCAAATGCTGTGGGATTTGGGTGCACTCTTAAAGCTGTAAGTTTGCTCCCTACTGGTGGTTCACCCCCACCCTACAAATGGAACCAAGTTTCCACATCCTTAGTTGTCACATCAGCCAAAGGTACACAGCAGCAGACAAAGGACCTCCTGTTTCAGTGGAGCCAGATAAACCAAACCAGACCAAGGAATTCAGAGCCCACAACACCCAAGGAACTTAGCAGGGCCCAGGGAGGGCCTGCATGGAACAGAGTGGGAGTTGTTAGGTGATGTAGTGTGGTCAGGAAGGGCCATGGTGACAAATGATGTGTGGACCAGAGCTAGAGACAGTAAGGGGAAGTGTTACGGACACAGGAAGTCAAGTGCCAAGGCCTCAGAGGGAGCAAGTTTGTGTGTTTGGAGAGAACAGAGCCACTAAAGGAGCTGGGACAGAGTGGCTCCAGATGCAGCAGTCTAGGTCTGAGGGACACAGGGGGTAGGGGACCGGAGAGAGACCTGTGGAAGAGCACCTCGGGGGCTTTGCTCTCACTATGAGTAAGGGGGCAGGCGCTTAGGTCCTTAGCAAGGTCCACATAGCCTATCACCTACTGCCACCACCCACAACCATCCTGTCCAGCCTTGCCGTGCCACCACTTCCATGCTGGATCTGCCTTTCTCCTTCCATCCCTACCCACATCAAATCTCCTCGCCTCCTCTCTACCCTGTTGTCCAGTTCCTCTGGGTCCCTATGGCACCTCTCTCATACTTTTTCCACCCTAAGCTAGCCTTCAACTTCCTGTAGGGAAGGATTGTGTCTTCATGTGACACAGTCTGACTTGTATTCTGATGAGGTTCTACTTGATAATGAACTCCATGAGGGCATTTTTGGAAACTGCTTTTATCCAGGTAACTTCTAGCCAGCAGTGGATGCTGAATGGTGGCTTCTCTACCTCCAACGGCACTTGGTCTATTACATTGCCTTCTACAGGCGTATGTACAGACCATCAACTGACTGAAGTGTGCTACCCACTGATATAAGAATAAGGCACAAGCACTTACTTGTCACTAGTACCTATCATCACTGATAGGCTGCTAAAACAAGAATCTAGGTTTAATACATTCCTCTGGTTGAGAGACAACTTCCCTAAGTCAACATAAAATTTGTAAGTTACATATGCAAGGAGATCCGTAAGCTGGTTTGGGAAGGATACAGAAGACACTTAATAAAGGTTTATCTTTCAGGAGCAGCTGAGAGGTCAGAATGGGTGGAATGGGGCATTATTTTATACCTCTGTGTGTGGTCTGAATGTTTTAAACTATGTAATTGCACAAAAACGTAGGTGAAGAGAATGAAAGGGCAAGCAAGTCAAGCAGCTTCACTGTAAGGAAAGAGTGTGATGGTTGACCTTGGTATCTTCCTTTACTTCTGCCTCCTCCTCATTGGTAGCTTCAGTCATCTCTTTCACATCAGGATCCTTGATCCCATGCATCAGCTGGATGTGCTTCTCTAGCATCAGCCGCTTGGTGAAGGTCCGCCGGGAGTCTGGGCAGTGCCTGCGGAGGGAAACCATGCTGACAGCAGTTCCCCAGAGCACACTCACTGCTGGGGGCTGTGCCAGCCAGCACAACACAGCACAGTCACCAGTCAACAGGGCTCCAAGCAAAATAAGCAATGTTGCTATGACTCACATGTCCCAGTTTTGTGAAAAAACACTCCCCTGGGGCTTTGTAAAAGCTCTATAGGTTTTTGTGTCCTCATAGGACCAGCCTAATTTGGTTCACAGGGAATATTTACTTTCTAGGGTTAGATATAGTGAGATTGACCTGTAATTCCAGATGACCTTAATTTTAAAATGCAGAATATTAAATTTCCAAAGTTTTCTTCACGACTCAGAATCCCATCAGAATTTATATCACGATGGATGCTTCAAGCTGAAGACAGCCCCATCTCACTGTCCTTATGTTAATCATCCCTGTCAAGTGACAAGACGGAGCCAGAGCACTCATCAAAACACATGCAACATATGTGTTTACAATCACAGTGCTTGAAAACATTTGCTCATCCAGTACATTAAAATGCAGAAAATGTAAATAATTAACCTGTCTTGGACATCTGTGAAGTTTTACAGATTAGGAAGGTAGCTTCTGTAAACTGGGCCAAAAACAGGTTACGGGAAGCTAACGACCATGAAGTGCGTAGAGGCTGGACGGCAGACGTGAAGAGTACCGTTGCAGTGAAGGGGATGAAAAACATCTCACCGTCTGACTCAGAACCACATTTGAGACCTTCAAAAGGCTTAGAGGGTTCTGTAGTGACAGGTCCCAAACTCTGACGACTTCACATTAGAGACCCTCTGAGGGGCAGCAGCAAAAGCCAGCCACAGCCCCTACCCCTCACGATGAATGTTCTCAATTGTAAAATTGTTTTGCTGGTAGTAAATTAGCTAAAAAATCCCAGTATTTCACTGCCCTACAGTGATCTCATAGGGAAAGAAACAAAACCCATCAGTGAAGGCTTGTGCTGGGGCTGCCTCCTTTTCCGTCTTCTTAGCTCAGGGCATTCTTCTATAATCTGATCGTTTTATTCAATCTCAATGCATGCAACATTCTCATCTCACCAAATCACTTCCACTTCCATTTCCTTCCTGCATTGTCCTACCCAGGTTCATGACTGTCATCCCCAAGGCCCACAGAAGATTGCCAGCCTCAGGGCCCTGGAGTTCTGTCTCTCAGGAGAAGGGCCTTGGTATGACAGAACCACATTTTTGACCTTGGAAAGGTTTACAGGATTCTGTAGTGGAGTGGAGGAGGAGGAACCAAAGGAAAATGGCATCAAGATATTCGACAGTCCTTTCACTGTGCTTCTGTGTTAGAAACTATGACTTACGAGCAGGTGTAGACTTTCCTGATGCCTTTGTGCTTGATCCGATTATGACGGCACAGGCTGTGCGAGGAGCTGAAGGACTTGTCACACTGGCGGCAAGGGTGCTTCTTCATTTGCTGTGTCAGGAGAGGAGAGAAGGCCACTTAAGACAGCGAAGATTACACTTTTTTTTTTTTTTGCGGGGGTGCAGGCGGTGCTGGGGGATCAACCCAAGGCTTCACACATGCTAGGCAAGCACTCCATCACTAAGCTCCACCCCAGACCTAGAAACATCATAAAAAGTAGGAACTCCTGTAATGGCGTAAGTTTAATAGCAGTTACTTAGGAGCACAGTAACAAAACCAGAAGGTTCTTTTTTAAAATGAAGTTAAAATTGGAGGGCTGTGCTGAATTATCCATGATAATTCAGATGATTTCAGGAGGATGGGGAAAACTAATCATGAGAGTAAAAGATTACATTTTTCTAACCAAAATACTTTTTTGTATAACAAAATATCCAGGTATTTATAGTAGAAAATATTACACAAATTATTTTAAAAAGAACCAAATGCTATTATTTTAAAAGCAGACAATACAGGAAAACATATCAATTTGGTAAGTAGTAAATGAAAGAATTACTTCATTTGTTGTAAACAGAAAAAATATGCTGTCTTTTCCAGTGTGTCATGTTAAATTACATCCCTGGCTGATTTTGAACATTTTAAAACTTTACTCTTCACTGATTAAGTAATCACTCATTAAGAGGGAAGGCTTTTCTAGAAGGCATAGAGCCATTTGGTTATCTCAGGAATGTCAAACTTCAAAAAGCCACTTTCGGCGGGGGGGGGGGGGGGACTGCCTCTTGGTATGTTTTGGGTGTATGTGAGTGAGAGAAAAAGAGAGAGTTTATATATTTAACTGTGACATATATCAAGTAGGTAAAAATAACTTTTTTCATATTTGAAAGTTTCCTACTTTGACTAACACACAGTTATGTTAATTAACCGTGTTTCCATGCAGAACCTTTGAAGTGAATCGGTGGCTTACTTTAAAACAAATTCTTTGAGTATGATATGCATCAAGCAGTCTGGAAACAAACAATACCGTATCACAAGGAAATTAGACCATAAGAGCTGCCAATCTCATGAATGGAACAAGATTTGACTTGAACCCTCATTAAAAATAAGGCTGAGTGCAAATCAGTTCTTGTGTGAGATATAGCATTTCTATTCTTGGCAGTAAGAAGAGATAAGTAAGCAATGGTAAGACAGCGATTAAGAAATAGTATTTTAAAAAACTTTTAGCATGTCTGTATTTAAACTGGCAAGCAAACCTCGTTACATGGTGAGAGTCTGGCTCTACAGAACCAGAGTTGGATTGACACCATCTCTACCAGGATCATGTGATCCTCAACTGTGAGGCACCTTCCTTGAGGATAACAGAAAGACCAGGGACACTTAAGGTAAAAAGACACAGAAAAATCACTCAGTAAGCATTCTTCTACTATATTACTGTATACTGCTGTATACATGTAACTACAGTTACATATCCAAGTTTCCTTTTAAGAAAATGGAAAATTGTCTTTTTATAAAGCAAATCAGCCTGGTAAGTATTCAAAAGGGCCTTGAACCCAGATAACCCAGATAACGGCAAGGCAGGAATTTTTATCTCCATGTTAAAATTAATTTGTACCAATGCTTTGTTTTCCTAAGCATGTCAATTAGAGGCAGAGAAAAGAACAAAGCTATATCCAGTTATTGCCTTGGAAACACTGCTGTCTCCTACAGGAAATCCTTCATAAAGAGGTTTGATCACACAAAGTAGACATCAGTAATCCCTAGTCTACTTACGTAGCCAAAGATGAATAGATGCACGAGTCTTTATTATAATAAAGCCTGAAGAACAGAATCATGAATATCTAATCCCTTGTTAGGTTTTTCCATGTACACACACACACACACACACACACACACACACACGTATGAAAATGATCGACAATATTAAGATTGACCCAAAACATAAGCCATCTTTCTAAAAACAAAAGTCAATTTTGGCAAATAATTCTAACACATGCTGAGAACAGAAATATGTCTTTCTAGTAATATAACAAGGCAAGAGGACCCAGAGAAAGGGGAATTGAACTTTCTCTTAAGGTGAAGGGTTTAATATCCCATTTTTGTGCAGTTATATTAATATGAAACCAAAGTTCAAATAAAGAAATGCCAGTGAGGAAACCCTTGGCAAGTCATAAATGAGGAGCAGCTTAGCTAAGTCCATTCCTGCAGTGCTGACAAGGCAGGAGGCATCTTCCCCTCCCTTATCTTCAGGAAAACACATAGAACTGAGCTGTGCAATCCCAAAACAACAAAGCAAAGCTTCAACTTTACTGGTGATAAGAAAATGAGGTTTAAATGCTGGTTTCTAGATCCAGCCTGCCAGATTTGCATACTCAACAAGACAAGTGACTTTCTTCTTCTTTGCTAAACTTCAAATCCTTATTCAAAGGTGTGTTAGCTGATTGTCTTCATAAGTTTTATCCTCAATACTATGAGTTCATAACTGCTACTTTATGACACAGATAACTTTTATAAGTCAAAAGAAAATGGAAGAACAGGCTGGGCATGGTGTTGCATACATGTAATCTCAGTACTTGGGAGGCTGAGGCAGGAGGATCTCAAGTTTGAGGCCAGCTTGGGCTACATAGCAAGACCCTATTTTGATAGGGAAGGGGAGGGGAGAGGAGTAGAGGGGAGGTAAGAGGAAAGGAAAAAGAAAGGAAACAGAGTGTGAGTGAAGTGTAAAATCTGTTTCTCAGATTTTTAAGGCCATTTGCCTTAAAATCCAAAGTAGTAGAGACCGATTCTGAGGCAGGGCTCCAAGTGGGCTTTTTATAGTTGAATAATCAGAATTGCAGCCTGCCTTCTCACTCATTTCTGAGTTATTCTGTTTGTTGTTAAATGGCACTCTTTAAGAAATAGCTAATAAGCCACATAAAACTTTAGAGTAAGATATCAAATAGGATGAACACTAGAGAACCCCCCTAGACTTCACCCCTAATCTCTAGCTCTGGTGCCCTGTTTTCCCTGCTTTCAGGGAACCTCTTCCAGTTCTAACCCTGCCTGGGCTGCAGCTGGCCCTTGGAGAGGGTGTCTGGGCTTGTCATGGGCACTCCCACAATCGCACATTCCCCTTCTGCTGAACAAGTCCCTGCTTGTCTCTTTGCTTACAGGCTTGCTTATGTTGACTTTGAGGAAGTGAGAGGAACACACCTTTACATGTACATCGGGAGAGACAGACACTATACCATTTCCTGAGAGTCCTACTTCACCTCCATGAGGCACCACCTTGCACGTAATGCAAGAGCCTCCCTAACACCAGCAAACACCCAGAAACATCCACACACCTACAATTAAAGTGCATATGATTATTCTCACCCATGCTGACACAAGCCTTTCAGCTCTGTCATAACATGCTACGAAAAAGGAAAAGCCAAGCCAATTCCATAAATTAGATGTACCATAGCAGTAGTCCTTCAGAAATCAACTTCTAAACTCTAAAGCCTTCCATTTGGGATCTAGTCTACATTACACAACAGTACCCCACTCTCCACCCCAAGTCTCCCAAAGGCTGTCTGAAACTTCGGATAGTACTGAAGCCCATAATATACAGTGCTCTTTCCCACAGAGGTGCTCCTTGCCTTCCAATAGGTTACATCACACTTAGCCCATCAGAAGTGGAAAACACACTTAATACCCCGACAAACCCATTACAAAGTTAAAAAACTGTAAGTCAAACCACTATATGTGGAGGACCGTCTATACAGATATACCTATGACAGTTTAAGAACAGTAAGATTAACTAATAAAAATAGAATAATTACAATATAGTATAATGAAAGTCGTGTGTGTGTAGTCTCTCTCTCTTTCTCTCTCTCAAAAGATCTCATTGTACTTTTAGCTTTCACTTTAATGAAGCACTTTATGGCTTCTTTTGGCATATTTGAATTGACAGTAATGCTACTCTTACACTTTGGGGCCACAATTAGTAAAATAAGGGCTATTTGAACACCAGCACTGCAATACTGTAATTAGATGATCTGATGACCAAGACAGTGACGAGTGGTGGGGAGTATAAACAGACTGGCAATGCTAGAAAAGGGATGATTTAATTCCTGGGTGGGACAAGTAGGACAGCACATCTTGCCATGCTACTCAGAATGGCCCACAACTTAAAACTTACTTCTGGAATTTTCCATTTAGTATTTTCATATCACAGTTGACCACAAGTAACTGAAAGCACAGAAAGGGAAACCGTGGATGGGGGGAGGAGGAGGGCTGCTGTACTTGTATAAAGCAACTTTAAGACATGAGATTTACTAAGGGGAGTGGGGAAAGAGGGACAATAATGGAGGGGATGAACCAAACTGGGGTACAATATATGTACATATGGAAATATCACAATGAAACTTCCTGTACAAATATCATATGCTAATAAAATGTTTTTAAAAAGATATGAGACTTACTAATTACAGGTAGCAAGGTAGGTTGTTTGGATTTTGAACCGTGTGAACGTGCAAAGTTTTTCTTGGTCTGTTGCTTTGGTTAGGATCACTGAGGTGGTTTATGCAATGTAAAATTCATCCCTTTTAAACCGTAGTTCTAAGAGTTTGATGGATGGGCACATTCCCATCTGTCATCTAAGTGGAAACCCACAGTATAGCAAGTGCTTTCTGGGTCTGCTTCCTTCATCCAGCATAACTCATTGATAATTCAGCTGTCTGCTGTAGAGAGGGACCCTAGTGTATTGGATAGACTCCAGTTTAGTGAGAGATATTTACTAGAAATGACACTTAGTTGTTTCCAGTTTGGGAGAAATAATAAAACCATAGTCAACATTAGTATTAAAGTTAAAAAATTAATTAACAGCTAAAGCATCTACTTATAGTGTACCTGACCTTGACATGTTTTGTTTTTTAAAGGAACGTTTGGGACTTTTTCAGCCCTCCATAAGCTCCTTGAGAGCAGAAGCTGTTACTCACTCATCTCTGTATCCTTCATTTTCAGTATTCAGAGATTATTTACTGTGTACATAAATGAGTATATAAAAGAAATAACTGAGCATACAATTATCCATTAGAAAAATATCAGTAGATTCTACCAAGTAATCACAGGGTAACAAACAAAGTGCTGAACACAGAGTAGGCAGTGCTTATTTTTAGGAAACCAGGTGAGACATGACTGTGTTAAATACTGATAAGACAGGTGAGAGACGAGTAGATGTGCAAGGAAGCGGGAAGGGCTCAGGCAGAAGAACAACATCTCTTCCTGCATGGTTGAAGCTGAGGCCCCATCTGTCCCTAGACAGGTGCAAAGCTTATTAAAATCAGTGGTAGGTGGAGAGAAAAGGACCAGGAAATTGAAGGAATTCCTACCCAGCAGCTTCTGGTTCCAATATGAAGTACATCTGACACATGTAAACTCTGTGGCCTTCATTCTCATTCAGTCTCAATCAATCTCTCTGTCTATTTGTCTTTCTCTCTCTTTCTCTCTCATAAAAGTAATAAATACTTACTGCAAGGTAAAACAGAATAAAGATGGCTTCCAGCCTCAACCATCCAACCACTGTCAATTTCTAGCATTTCTGATATACATATTTGTTTGTAAAGCACACACATCTACATATTTTAAAATTTCTTTCCTAATGAGTACAAAGTATCCCACTACATAAATGGGCCATAATTTAACTAACAGAAATTAACCGTTTGGATAGTTTCAACATCTTGATAATTACAGATACACATTTCTACAGTCAAACGATTATTCCTGAAAGTCATCTGTCTAGCTTAGAAGCTGTGAAAATTTTCAAGTTGTTGATATCCCTCACCAAAATACCTTCAAATCCCATTGACAATGTGAGTCAGTGCTTGTTCACTCAGAGTTACTAGCCTGGGTCTCCATTCTTCAACCCTGCTGAAGTGATTAGTAAAATAGATTTCACTTTCTTCCCCATGCCTAGTGATGTGGAAGGCCCATCCATGTACTCTTTCGCCATTTGCATTTCTTGGGTGCACTGACCAATTGTGTCCTTTATGCAATTTTCTGTGGAGCAAGGGAAGGGAAGAAGGTAGGTCAGAGGAAGACTGGAAGACCTGGGGAGGTCGTGGTGAAAGCTGGAGACCATTCATGTGTGTGACAAGACACAGAGGGTTTGGATGGAAGGGTCACATGGCTGACATATGCTAGATGGTCATCCTGGCCACCAGTCTGGAAGCTGGGAAAGCAGTGTGGAGGCTGTCTCACAATAATCCAGGGAGAGGTTAGTGCCCTGGCCTTGGAAAGTGGAGGAGGTCATGCTAAATAGAAGAGAGTTACTGGTAGGGTCTGAGGTCTGCAAGCTAACTGCAGGAGATAGAAGGGAGACAAAAGGGGTTAAGCATCATTCCACATTCTGGTGCTG